GGCTTACATATTCATAGAATTCATACTAACTAATATTTATAAAATGACAACACTGAAAATAGAAAAACTTGTAACAATAATAGACAATGATTTGGATCACCGGAAGGCAAAACAAGTCTTCTAGCTAATTCCAATGCTTAAAACATAAAAGTAAATGTTATCTTGAGCTAAATTTGGTAATTGCTAATGCATGCAGTTTATCAAATTGCAATGTTCTCAATTATAACCAAGAAGAAATGGAATAGTCATTCAGGGTTTAAGATACTTAAGAAAGATATAGATGAACATGAGGTAAATAGTGCCAAATAGCATTCACCAAAGAAGATGAAATGTACAAAGAATCTAATACAAGTTTCTGTCGGCTATAGTCTGGTATTCCATACCTTGATTTGGTCATAATCTCTGATTGCACGGCTTTTAGCATCCTCTGTGACCCTAATGGATTCTTTTAGCTCTTCTAATTTGTGAATCCTAGAGTTGTCACCACCAAAATTTTTGGATGACGTTGCTTCGTGTTTTGCAGCTCTTGAATGCAAGGAAGACAGTTCGGATGTAAGGCTTTGTATTGTCAACAAAGCACTTGAACGATCAGAGAATGCACTGTGTACAGATAAAATCTGCCCCATATAATCATGCAATGTATCCTGAAATACACAAAGTGATCTGTTAGCATGTTTGAGAAAGGAGTATCTTCATACACAATAAACATTTCATTAAACGTACGAGTGACTGCGATCCTCATCTTTTTTCATCTCAAGCAAAACAATATGCTACAATATAGAAACAAATTATAACTTCCGTACTAATGACAGACATTACATAAACATATTAACCACTGTGATTCCCGTATTTGGTTATTTGTTGAGTGAAACAATGTGTACACAATAGCACTCGTGGAAGATTACCATTATGGGTGAAGGATCCAGAGAAGAAATCATCACATTTACAAACAAAACATGTAACGACAAGCCAATTTAATATGGGAGAAAGAGCCAGTATATTATTCGACAAACAACCAATGATTTAGGTGGGGATGGAATCTGGGACATCTGAGTCTCAGGGACTGGATCAACCTTCACCACTAAGCTAGCCCGAATTGGAAGTTTGATAAACTGGCAGTTCAACTTATCACACAATAATGACCCACAACAACAATGTAGCACTTACCAAATGCGTCACGGTCTGTGCAGTTAATGCTCGATACAATCTGCTTGCTTTAACAGCTGCAGTTGCAACATTTTTCATGTCAGCAGCCCTCATTCTTTGAGTATTCAATATGGCATGTTCATTCTCAAACTTTGTCAACTTAATAAATGCTAGCCCCAATTCTCCCATTGTGTCCCCCATATCCTCCTGTGCTTTAACCAGTGATTCCGCCTAACAGTTTAAAAAACCAATTTAGTTAACAAGTGTATGCAATACAAAATTTAAGACGGAATTCAAAGTCAAATTTATCAGCGGATTAGCTATGCATAAAATTTGTCGTGTTCAGAATGCATGTATGTGTAAATAACGATATAGGACATGCATAACAATAGTATTAGAACCAGTGGCAAGAATGTTGAGGAAACCTGTTTAGAAGCATTAGTAAGTTGCTGCTCGAGATAATGCAACTTCTCTTTCTTTCCCAAGAACTCTTTATCCTCCTCCTCCACAGGAGGCCTTGACCTACTCCAATCATGCACAACTGATTGCTTCAACTCCTTGAACAGCCTCAGCAAATCCATCCTGCCCTTGGCTGGCTCCACCGCATCCTGCGACCCAACTCCACTCCTCGACTCCCCCAGCAACTGTTTTGGCAGCCCCACCACCCCGTCAAGCACCTTCGATGCCACGTCAGTTCTAGCTGACAGAGGCATTCTCCCCTCCACCGTTAGAAACTCCTTTAACTCGTTGCTTTTCTTAATCACAGGGTGCATCGCAAGCCTCCTCAAGTACTTCTCCAACGCAACTCTCCTCTGCTCGACAAACTCCTGCTTTTGCATCACCTGACTCTCCATTACACTTTTATCAGGCCGTATAGGAACAAAATACCCTCTATAGCCTTCACTCAAGCGATCTGCAAGCGTAATGACATCCCTAAACCGCCGCCGAACTCTAAAATCCGACCCTCCATACTCCTGAATATTCGTATTCGCGGTGATCAAATAAGTAACGTAACTGTTGCCACCCGGAACAATAGAGTTAGAAGATTCAACCTCTTTTTTTGGATCAGAAACCGTAATTCTCAAATACTCCGAGCCTTCTAGCTGGGACCTCGGCGACACCCTTAATTTGCCGTGTACATCATCGCTCCCACCGTCTCCGTCGGAGGAGACAATGGGACTATCCTCAAGGGGGCTGATAAAGACATCAGCATAGGAGGGGGATTCCGGGAACGGATCGTGAGAGGGAAATAACAGCGGATCGGACACGGCGGGGGTGGTGGCAATGGACGGCGGCGGCGGCGTCAACAGAGGGTGCTCAGAGGAGGAGGATAGTGTGGTCATTGCACTGCGGTAACTGGAATATGATTTGGAGGTCGAAACGTCGTCGTTGCTGCCATCGTCTTCGTTGAGAATTGGGATTTCCATTTGTTCTCTGCTTGATTCTTGGATGTTATTGTTCTCAGAACCCATCATTTTTTCCAACAAATTTTCGTATTTATTTCTGATCACTGAATCAACCAGAAATGGATTAAAATTAGCAAAATGGGGAAGTATCAGTGCTTCTTAATTAATTAATTAATCAGTAAAAGAAACGGTAAAATTTGAAGTTCAGTTAAATCTAGGGTTTATGTTCAGAATGAAAGATGAGTGGAAAATTAGTTGAGAAGATACTTTTCTTAGTTAATAACTTAAAATTACTTTCTATTTTTAGAAAAAGAATTTCCTTCTCAAAATTTTCAACATTTTGATCAAACCTACAATGGACAAAAAGATGAATAGTTTACGCTCATTTGTTTGCACTTCTCATCGATTTTATGGGATCGAACAGTGTGTAGATATGTCGACTCATTTAGAATTCTAATTACTTTCTCCTTTTTTAATCGTGTTGTAGTAGTTAAAATTGTCTTTTCGTATCGTTTAATCATATTTTATTTATTGGACAAATCCAACAAATTATGAGTGAAAATATTCGATTGAGTGGTTAACTTTATTTTATCACAATTGGGTACTTTGACTTCAATATTTGTTACAATTAAATCACTATGTACATTACTTGGTTGGAGCAATGGAAAAACTAATGTTACAATTTACTTAGGAGGTGTTTGTTTTTTATTCTCAAAATCTACAATAAATCAATTCTCATTTTCAACCACACATTTTTCAATAAAATAATATTTCCATCACATCAATAATTTTTTCTTCTTTTTCAACCACACATTTCCCATCATATCACTATTCAAAAATCAATTTTTCCTCCAAAAATCCCTACCAAACAAGCACTTAGCAAGAAATAGGGCTGAAAGCAACACATCAGCAAAAATCTAGCCATTTAACATGACATAACATTTAAGAAAACGAAAAAGTAGTAATAATTGAATCTAAAAAAAAAACGAATATAAATAAAACATTTTTATGAAAAAGTTATGTGTGACATGTCTATTCGTAGTCGTGTACGTCTTCTTATCCGTGCTTCATAGGTTTCTCGGTGTTTTAACATCATCATCGCGACTATCGGAAAACAAATCCTTGCACAATTCCCCATAGAATCTGCAAACCAAATCAGTGAAAATAGGGCATCTGAGATTCTTCAAGCAGTAAAGAAACTCTTCAACATCCTTTAAATCCCTCATTTTCCCTTCTTCAACCATCATTTCTATCAAATAATTCTCGAAACTCCTGCATGCATCTTCAACATCATCTTGACCAGAGACTTCCTTTTTATAATCTCCTCTCATTTTTACATATGCTGGGGTGAGAGGGGAGGGGTGGGGTGCCTTATGATGTCCCTCATCTGGAAAACTCATGATCTCAATCACTCGATCTGTCTCTTTTATTTGCCTTAACGAACGGAAAAGCGCACGAATCTTCGTTAGACGACTCGTGTCGGTGTTTTTCGATTTTCTACGACGAAATCGAAGAGATGTTATGAAGACGGGTTTTCGGAGTTTGAATTTGAAGAGTTTTAGTATTTTCTTGCATGGGTTGAAAAGCTTGGACGGAGTTTTCAATTTCATTGCTTAACGATTTGTTAGGTTGCACGGAAATGAAAACGAAAACATATCTTATGTAGAGGAATAGAGAGTGGCTAGGTGTGGTTTTCACGTCTTGTCTTATAGGAAAAGTGGTATACCATGAAACGGAACTTTTTCCAACTGTTTGAAGGTTTTTTTTTTTTTATAAATTTGAGAGTTGGTCAACATTCCCTTTTTCAATTTTAGTATTCATGTGATAAAAGTCCCCTTTCTGCCTTTTTATTGCTTGTGTGCACGTTTGCTGCAGATTTCCATAACGAGGGGTAATGAAGAGATTAAGGTTGCATTCGATGTACCCATATGTAGTGTTTTAAACTGTTTCCATATACTCGGGACGTTTTTTAAACATCCAGCATATGGAATATGTGCGTGATGATGTGGTCAGTCCATTTCGTTGATCGTATACGCGCACTTAAAAGTCAATGTGCGCGCATTTGTATTAAAAATTGTTTTCAAATTAGTCTAGCAAAATTCAGCCCATTTTTATAACTTAAAAGGGGCAAAATGTGCCCAGTAAACGTCAAATTAGCCTAAATCACCTAAGTCTATTAATTTTATACAGTAATATAAAGGGTTCTGCACAATTCTTCCTCTAATCAAACAAATCTTGCCCAAATCTTCCCATTTAATTATATTTATCTCTTACCAATTCCTCCACAATTTTTGGAATCCCTAGTTTTCCCAATCCTACCGCTGGAATTGTAAGACACTCTTGTCAATTGCTACTACTGGGAAGCCATGGCCAATCAACTGAAGCTAGGTACCTAGAAAAGTTCCATCATGTGACTCTGTGTGTTGATAAGTTCTTTCACGATGACATCATGTGACAAATGTCGAGTTGCAAAGATACATTCAAAAAGAAGATGCATTTGGAAGAAAACTAGCAACAACTGGATGTGAGAAGAATACATCAAGTTACAATCCGAGTATGTTAACAGTATTATTCTTTTTTCTTGTTAATACACCACGTGTACATATTATAACATTTTTATCTCTTTCTTTTGTATTTACTAGTTGGTGAGACTTCTATGGCAATGAAACACCAAATTTGAAATTAATGGCAAAGAGGATTCTCAGTTTGACTACTAGTTCATCCGGTTGTGAGTTAATTGGAGTGTTTTTGAAGAGGTGAGGAATAATTAAATAATTATTTTAATGCATTTTAGTTATTACTTTGGTAGTTGTTTGATAATTAGTATACTAAAATTTTCCAACTTTTTTTAATGTCAGTACACACTACAACAAAATTGTGATTTCCCGACAAGATTTTTTGCGATATACAAAAAGTTGTCGCAATAAGTGACTTAACGCGGCGTATTTTTAAAGTTTGTCGCGAAAATTGTGATGAAAAAAATAAGTACCAAATAATATAAAACGACGTAAAAAGTTGTCGTGAAATGTGAGAAGTTGCGACAAATAATAAAAAATGTCGCCAAAAATATGAGGGAAGCAAGGCGCCATATATTTTCATTGGCCTCATCTTCAATCTGATCTACAAGCGATATCTAATCTTTTTGTACTTGTAATGTTTGATATCTTAAAATTGTGATGCAATGTGGTCTACTTTTTGCGATAAAAAAATATTTGTTGCTAAAAATTCTATACTTAGAGGAAAAAATCGCTACAAGAAAAAAAATTTTTTGCAACGGACAAAAAATGTTGCAATAGATTTTTTACAATGCTCACCCATATAATGTAAGATCTAATATTGTCGTAAATTAAAAGGATACGTCTGCACGTTGCAAAAGCCCTCAAATGTACCTCTTCCGTTAGACGATTAAATTTTCAGTCACATCGCAAGTTTTATTTTTTCATCTGGCTAAATTTTAATATGTAATACAATTTATTTTTAATTTTAATTATTTTTAGAGAAAAAATTTTATGATATAGGAAATTTTTTATGATAAAAGCTTTATAAAATTTCTAGAAAAAAATGAATTTCCAAAAAATTTTAGAAAAAAATTATTAGACGATTAAACTTTCAGTCACATAATAACTTAGGCCATGTTTGATAGCTTTCATTTTCCCTAGAACTAGGAATTCCCTTTCCATTTTCTTACTTTTGACTTGTTTGAT